ACTTGCCATTGCTTCGTTGGCAAGCCGCTCTCCTAGGCAGGTGGCAACAACGTTCTGAAATCGGGCACCGTCGGGTCGGGTCTTAACCCGATATTGGCTCGGCCTGGATTCTGATCACTGTCTATAAATCAGGTCGGGTACACGCCAGGTCGGGAATGTTTAGAACTGTTAGAAGTTGATTAGCTGCCAAACTCGACATATGTGCGGTGGTTACTAGCTATGGGAAGGGTTGGACCGAGCTTAATGTCAAGATCTGTAAAAGTGTTTAGGGGTTTGGGTTTTGTGAATTCAGTAAGGTGGCGGTGAGTTGGTTGTGGTTTTTTTTGTCAACAATCTTGACAAGGGGGAGCGGGTTCCTGGTTTTCCTCACTCAGTGTTGGAATTTGATCGACTGGCGAAATCGACAATCTGCACAGAGTTCCGGCGAAATTGGTTATGGATACCCGACCCGCCTCCTGGTCAACCCGGCCCGGACCCAGGTCCTATCCAACCCTAAAATATTGGACCCGCCAGGACCCGACCGACCCGGCCCGGGACCTTCCTGGCCCGTCAAATCGGGTCGGGTCAGGCCAAATGCTCATGCCTACTCGACCCTTGCTCATGTGCAAAAGAAGATGTCAAATGCAGAGAGCATGGGTGCTGCGAAGCAAATTGGTCATTGAAATGCCCAGACTTTAGAGCACATTCGAGCAGGCTGTACGAGTTGAAAGAGAACACACTGGAGGCACGAGGACTGCCACAGAGACATGTGTTATTCAAGCACCATGGCAACATGATTACATGGGAGCTTCTTACAATACCCTAAGTGCAGTGAGTGAGGCGAGGGTTTGGGGAAGGGAGCCAGTCAAAAGGTTGCTCTCCAGATCCCTGGATGGGGTAAATGACAGTTACGTGTTTAGGGTTGACAAGGATTCCATTCGCCTTCTAGGTCACAGGCCCATCCATCCATCACGAGGTTTCACTCAAGACGCTGGGAAGATAGGCATTGGGAGTGAAAGCCCTTGTTGGAGTTGGGGGGTCGGGATAGGTAGGGATGTAGGGGGCAAGAAAGTGAAACGGTCGGGGGAAATGCGGAAGGAAGTTGAAAGGGTGCACATACAGAAGGAAGAAGAGAAAGAACCTGGGGAGAATAATAATATCTTCTTTCTTCACAGTGCAACATTAAACCAAGCGAACCCTTCAAAGACTGCAGCAGCAATAATCTGGGGAGAATAATAGTATTTGCTTTCTATCCAATGCATACCTCTGTTCGTCCCAAACATCAGCCTGTGCCACACAACTCACAGGATAAGCAACGAACCCATGTTCCCAATTCCACCTGGAATTGACCCCGTCAGCTGATTTGTGCTGAGGTTTCTATTCACGGGTTGGAGAGGGTCAAGATCACAGAGGGTGGAAAATGGTCAAGAATTTATTTCTGACAGCCTTTGCTCAAAATTGGCGATTGTCTACAAAAACAGAGCATCTTAAAAGAGCTCGTTGGTCCAATAGGCAAGGGAAAGAATGGGAAGGGGTAGATTAACGAAAGAATGCATACTGCAGAGAGGGTGGACGGTGCCCTATCCCCGTGCCTGACTGGGTCCTCCTGTGAAATCTTATAGGGAACTGTGATTCAAGCGCCACGGCACCAATCACATCGTGGAAGATCCTTACAATGAAACAAGGTTAGTCAGTGCGGAAAGGCTATTGGGAACAGAACCAGTGAAAGAGTTGGCTCCTAGAGACCTGTGTGGGTTGAGTTGCAATTGCAAGTCGTGAAACGATAGTGACAATGGGCAAATGAGATAGGATGAAGTGAGTCTATGCAATGCGAGTCTACATCTTGCCCCTGTGGCTCGTTTTCGAGAAGAAAACTGGACTGACCAACATCATCATGGGAGAGATACTCGTCTAAGAGACATTCAGAAAATGACATACAGACCTCCCAGTTCCTTGTGAGAATTGCCAGGCCACTGAGGACTTCAATAGGGAGGGTGGTGGAAGGGAGGGCGCTGGGGTAGAGAAGAGGAACGAGGCAGCATACAGGACTGCTACTGCTCACTTGTTTACTGACAGCAGCTGCCTATCCAGGCCAGAAAACATCTGTGCCCCAATTATCAGTGTTGATCCTACAACAACTTACAGGCCGTTTAAGGCAGTGAGGCGTCCAATTCCAGCTGGAATAGAACCGGAGAGCTGATTCTCGCTTAGACCTCTGTTCACATTGGACAAGATGTGGAAAGTGCAGGGGTGCTAAGAGGAGTCTGGTCTTGTCTGGTTGAGTCACCCCCTAGTCGTGTTTCATTTAGTCCCAATTCGAGCAGACTCTACGGGAACCCTAAAGTCAGGCTGGTCTCAGTCGAGTTACTGGATCTGAGTTACGATTGCTTTGAGCAGAACAAACGGTTAAATGGGCGCCTAAATGCTCCGAGGACCGAGGGCATATCAGGTTGTGCACCACTGAATCACTGCATGATATGAGGTGCTTGCGGCGAGAGGAATATAATGTGAGATGGGGCCCATAAAAATGTGGTGGTGCTTCATATATGCATGAGCAAAGAAGAGAAACCCATGGCTCTAACCGGTTCGAGTAGAGCCTGACCGCGGCCTACTTTGGGCCGGCAGGTTCGAGCGCAACCAGCTCAGGGTGGAATAGAGTCACAGTGTGATACAGGTGCCATAGCAGCAGACCTGTTCCATGGGAAAGATACTCACAAAAGCATTAGACGAGTGAGGAGGGTGATGCTGTCAGGAATGGAGCCGTTGAACGAGTTAAAGGCGATACTCCTGCACGGGATGAGTTGGATGCATGGAGATGGTTAAAATGTGCGAGCCAGGAGGGAGAGTCAGCACACATAAGCTACACAAGGGGGCGATGACATAAGCTTATTTTGGCATGTAAAATTGAAAAAAAAAAATGAGAAAAAAAAATCAAACAAACAAACAGAACAGAAAAAACAAAACAAAAACGAACAAACAAAAAACAAAACAAAAAACCAAACAAACAAACAAAAATGAAGGAAAACATGTGTTCGACATAACATGGGGAAAACGACCAATTAGACTGTGCCTAGGACTTTCGCTGGGAGCATGCTCTAACGTCCTTGAGAGGATGCAGGAACCTACAATACACACGCATGGCTGCACATCCACTTGAATAGCTCCTTGTTGTTTTCCTCGACATGGACCCCAGAGAGAGGTTTACAAGTTAATTCCACTCAAGAAACACTATTGAAGCCATCAAGCACACATCGACAGCTCAGGAGGGTGAAGGAGAGGCATTAGGATCAGCATGTTCCACACGACTTACACGTTTTTCAAGGAGACCATGTTTCCAATCACGGCTGGAATAGACCCAGAGAGCCCATTTTCGCTCAACCTTCTGCTCACAGAGAGAGGGTGGAGAGTGGAGAGATAATGTCGCTGATGTCTTCTCCCTTAATACAAGGATTTGACGATCATTGTCTAAAGAAAGTGGCGCTGGACGCAAGGAGGAGTTAAATTTGATGTTGGTCCCATATAGGCGAGGAACGGAATGACAAACAGCCAATCACTGAAAGAGTGGCAGTGTGGGTGGAAGGTGTCGCATGGAAAGAAAACGGCTGTTGCACGTGTATCTGCACTCGAGTGCTGAGAGCAGGCTTACGCAGCGGCGGAAGGAAAGGGCGCTGAAGGAGACAGGGATTTTGGTCATAAATGCGGGGTAGTGTCATGCGAAGGCAGCGTGAGCGCCATGCTACCATGATTCCGTGGCAGTCGCTTACAAGTTCGAGAGAGACGAGAGTGAGGTGATGCTTTCAGGAATGGATCCGGTCAGGTTGAGGCGAGAGATATCTCTGCGGTGGGCGAGGCAGGGACGTGGGTTGGGGACAGTGATCAAAGCCGTGAGTGGGCGCGAGCATTCAGACGCCGGAGTTGACGGGACAACCTTTGTACTCCTTGGAGAGAAATGCAACGTCAAGAAAAGGTCGCAGGGGTCGCGGCTGAGCATCCCGCTGTAACTGCTGAGCAGATCTGGTTGGCGTTACCTAGACAATGGTCAAAGCTAGGAGTGAGCGAGCGTTCTGACGCTGAGTGGATGCGACAGCCTTTCAGTGTACTCCTCGGTGGAAGAAGGCGGGGGCAACGTTATGCGAAAGACACAAACACAAAGGGGTCGCGGTTGAGCATCCCGCTGAAACAAATCATGATGGCACATGAATTGCACCAGCTCCAGCTGGCAAGAGATTCAGCCTCTGCTTCGAACCCAGCTGCAGGACGCGTGCACTCACAGCATGGAAACCATGCCTTTGCCGTCACAGCCGATGCGGTTGCTGCGGCTCAGCTCGTCGCAGTCCGCTCCTTTCGTCCATCCTTCGATCGTCACTCCCCATGCCTTCTGCAACTCGATGAGAACCACCGCTGGCAGTTGGAGAGGCGAGAGGAGCAGAGGAGAAAACGCACAAGCGAGAAACGGCATTTCTGAGATCATGACACAGCGTGTCGTTCACAGCGTGGGCACAACCTGTGACTCCTTCTGCAATCATCGCACGCGCCACGCCACCACCTAACCCGTCGGCAGCAGTGAACGCGGGAGGAGCGCAATTACTATCTATATGGTTGTTGTAATGCCGGTGGGCTGTGTTAAGGGCATTTCGCTGCGCCAAATAACACCCTCCTTTTGACCCAGTGGGTAGCGAGGTGTTGTACTGGTACCACAGATTCGGTTCCGGGCTGATCCACATTGTCCTCTGTGAGCGAGACCTGGATGTGATGATCCAGTCGCGAACCCAGCGAACGGTCCTGGAATGAGGTCCCTGCGGGGGCCGACTCCCTGAAGTTGAGGGCCAACGGGGACGTTGGCACCAGGGAACGAGTGTAACGCCTGTGGGGTGTGTTAAAGCCCAAGACCTGAATTACTCAACGGAAGTCAACGGGAAAAAATAGGTTCGGAAGTCAAGCAGACGGAGGTTCGGTTGAGGTGTGAAGCAATTTCACTCGCGAAACCAATTTGCGACAAAAGAAGTCTCGCATACAAGAATATGAGCGATGGGTGGGGTCGTTCCCACAACAACCAGAAAAGGGCATCCATCCCAAACTGTGCACACTTTGAGATAGCACGCAGATAACTAGGCATAGAGCATACCTGTAGAGATAGCGGGGAATCAGAGGCGCCTTACGAATGTGTGTGGCACGAATTTCGATGACGACGCGCAAAGATAGTGTTCGCTGGTGTCGAAATGCAGGTTCAGTGCAACTGATGCGTAAACTCGCGGCGAATAATAGCGTGACCCTTCGCCCAAGCATGAACCTCTCCTCGCCGTCGCTTTCCGTTCCCAAGGTCCCACGAGGGCGATCTCATTCGCCATCGCTTTCCCAGCTCGTCGCCTTCAAGACCTCATTCCGATGCCTTCGCGACCCCAGCCCATCGCCTTCGCTCCGCCCGTCGCCCTCGCTTTCCACGCCTGTCGCCTTCACTTCCCCTCCCCCGTCGCCTTCACTTCCCCTCCCCCGTCGCCTTCACTTCCCCTCCCCCGTCGCCTTCACTTCCCCTCCCCCGTTGCATTTCCCGCCCGTCGCCTTCGCTACTCCCGCCCGGCGCCTTCCCTTCCCCTGCCCCTCGCTCTCGCTTCCCCCGCCTGTCGCACTCGCTTCCCCCGCCCGTCGCACTTGCTTCCCCCGCCCGTCGCTCGCGCTTCCCCCTCTCATCGCACTCCCCGCCAGTCGCACTCGCTCCCATTGCTGTCACTCTCTCCTGCTCACGCTCTGCCCTCCGCTCACTCTCTCCCCCACCCTTCACTCTCTTCTCTCACGTACACTCCCTTTCCCCCTATTCTCACTCCTCTCTTTCCCCCTCGCCTCACTCTCTACCCCCCTGCTCAATCCCTTCCCCCCTCGATCTCTTTCCCCTACTCTCTCTCTACCCCCCGTGCTCAATCTCTCCCACCCTCAATCTCTTTCCGCTGCTCATCCGCTCACTCTCTCCCCCCCTGCTCACTCTCTCCACCTCTGCTCACTCTCTCCCCCCCTGCTCACTCTCTCCCCCTCTGCTCACTCTCTCCCCCCCTGCTCACTCTCTCCCCCCCTGCTCACTCTCTCGCCCTCTGCTCACTCTCTCCCCACCTGCTCACTCTCTCCCCCCCTGCTCACTCTCTCCCCCTCTGCTCACTCTCCCCCCGTGCTCACTCTCTCTCCCCCCTGCTCACTCTCTCCCGTCTGCTCACTCTCCCCCCCCCGCTCACTCCCTCCCCCCCCGCTCACTCTCTTCCCCCCTGCTCACTCCCTTCCCCCCTGCTCACTCTCTTCCCCCCTGCTCACTCCCTTCCCCCCTGCTCACTCTCTTCCCCCCTGCTCACTCCCTTCCCCCCTGCTCACTCTCTTCCGCCCTGCTCACTCCCTTCCCCCCTGCTCACTCTCTTCCCCCCGGCTCACTCCCTTCCCCCCTGCTCACTCTCTTCCCCCCTGCTCACTCCCTTCCCCTCTGCTCACTCTCTTTCCCCTCTGCTCACTCTCTTTCCCCTCTGCTCACACTCTTTCCCCCTGGACTCACCCGCCTTTCCTCCCTGTTTACTCTCAATTCCCCTTCGTTCAACCATTTTTCCCCACACTACTCTGATTTCCCCTGTTCAGACCCCTCGGTTTCCCCTGCTTACTGGCTTTCCCCCCTGCTCGACCCCTTCTTCCCCCTGCTCACTCTCTTTCCCCTTTTGCTCACCCCTCTGCCCCGTCCACATCCAACCCTCGCTTATCTGCCATACCCCCTCTTCCCTTCCCGTTCTATCACAGAACCATGCTTGAACAGGGGCCCAGCACCATGAGTCCCAACAGGAATGAATGATTGTGTTCCTATAGTCCATTGTTGACAACTTCTATGCGGTATAAACAATATTATGCTTTGTTCAACTTCTTTGTAGTGGCCGTGTGCCTGGCTGCTCTGAAGCAGAGAATGTTTTCTTAATAGAAGCGTAAGCATCAATACATGGCATGGCTACCTATTTGTCATACCACTATCATCAAACAACAAACATTTCACAACTGGATGCATGGCAGACCTGCACAAACACGAACCACAAACTTTTGTGTGTCATATGTTGAAGCAGCTGGGAAGGATATCGTACAAAACAATAACAATCGAAGGGCAATTCCCTTGAATATACAAACAGGCTAGGAGTGTACAGGCTTGGAAGGGAAAGGATGGATGGGAGGATTCAAGGAGGGAGTAGGCAAGTGGGTCAGACAGAAAGGCAGAGGATAGGAAGATCGGAAGGTGGCAGCTTGAAAAAAAGGGCGGCAGGGTGGAGAGGCAGGAGGATGAAAGAAAGAGTGGGTGGAAGCGTGGTAGGGAGGAGGGAGGCTTGGAGGAAGGGCGGATGGGAGAAAGTGTGGGTTCAGAAAAGTGTGGCAGGGTATAAGGGTGGAACGGGGGAAAGGGAGAATCAGAGAGAAGGAAAGAAGGGTACAAGCTTGGGGGGGAGCGTGGGTGACGGGCGGAGGGGGTGTAGGGAGAGTGGGGGGCAGAGAGAGCGACGGAGGGAGCAAGCGTGGGCGATGAGAAACGTGGGGGAAGGTGGGGGAAAGTGTGAGCGACGGTGGGAGCGTACGCGACATTATGGGGAAGCGTGGGCGACGGTGGGAGGATGAAGGCCGAATGAGAGGAAGGGGGATGAGAGGATAGGGGGATGAGAGGAAAGGAGGATGAGAGGAGGAGCGGATGAGATGATGGGCGGATGAGATGATGGGCGGATAAGAGGATGGGCGGATGAGATGATGGGCGGATGAGATGATGAGCGGATGAGATGATGGGCGGATGAGATGATGGGCGGATGAGATGATGGGCGGATGAGATGATGGGCGGATGAGAGGATGGGCAGATGAGATGATGGGCGGATGAGATGATGGGCGGATGAGATGATGGGCGGATGAGATGATGGGCGGATGAGATGATGAGCGGATGAGATGATGGGCGGATGAGATGATGGGCGGATGAGATGATGGGCGGATGAGATGATGGGCGGATGAGAGGATGGGCGGATGAGAGGATGGGCGGATGAGATGATGGGCGGATGAGATGATGGGCGGATGAGATGATGGGCGGATGAGATGATGGGCGGATGAGATGATGGGCGGATGAGATGATGGGCGGATGAGATGATGGGCAAGATGAGATGATGGGCGGATGAGATGATGGGCGGATGAGATGATGGGCGGATGAGATGATGGGCGGATGAGATGATGGACGGATGAGATGATGGGCGGATGAGATGATGGGCAGATGAGATGATGGGCGGATGAGATGATGGGCGGATGAGATGATGGGCGGATGAGATGATGGGCGGATGAGATGATGGGCGGATGAGATGATGGGCGGATGAGATGATGGGCGGATGAGATGATGGGCGGATGAGAGGATGGGCGGATGAGAGGATGGGCGGATGAGATGATGGGCGGATGAGATGATGGGCGGATGAGATGATGGGCGGATGAGATGATGGGCGGATGAGATGATGGGCGGATGAGATGATGGGCAAGATGAGATGATGGGCGGATGAGATGATGGGCGGATGAGACGATGGGCGGATGAGATGATGGGCGGATGAGATGATGGGCGGATGAGATGATGGGCGGATGAGATGATGGGCGGATGAGATGATGGGCAGATGAGATGATGGGCGGATGAGATGATGGGCGGATGAGATGATGGGCAGATGATGGGTGGAACAGAGGATCAGGGTTGGCGTGAGGAAGGGAGTGGGCGAGTGGGAGATGGAAAGGAAGTGGGGGACTGGATCAAGGGAGGATGAGGAGGGGGAGAATGGCAGGAAGCGAGGGCGGGAGGAAGGGAGGGAGAACGGGCAACAGAAAGGGGAAAGAGGGTAGTGAGGCAGAGAGTGTGGGATAGATGGAGGAAGGGTGGAAGAAAGAGGGAGAGGAGGACGACTGTGGGGGCCCCACGGAACGGAGTAAGGGAGAAGGGCAGGAGGTAAGAGTGTGGCAGGGTATAAGGGGGATAGGATGATCCCTGCACCCTCTCTCCCTAACCCCCGCCTCCCCCGCTCCGCATCCCCTAACCCGCCCCCTGCAGCACTGCACTCCTTGCTGCCCGCCTGCACGCGCTGCCCTGGCTGTGCGCCCAACACTCTGCTCCACAGCTGCACCACCACCTGCCATGGGCGACGGTGGGAGGAAGCGTGGGCGACGGTGGGAGGAGGCGTGGGCGACGGTGGGAGGAAGCGTGGGCGACGGTGGGGGAAAGCGTGGGCGACGGTGGGAGGAAGCGTGGGCGACGGTGGGGGAAAGCGTGGGCGACGGTGAGAGGAAGCGTGGGCGACGGTGGGGGAAAGCGTGGGCGACGGTGGGAGGAAGCGTGGGCGACGGTGGGGGAAAGCGTGGGCGACGGTGGGAGGAAGCGTGGGCGACGGTGGGAGGAAGCGTGGGCGACGGTGGGAGGAAGCGTGGGCGACGGTGGGAGGAAGCGTGGGCGACGGTGGGAGGAAGCGTGGGCGATGTGCGGGGAAGCGTGAGGGAAGGTGGGGGAAGGTGGGGGAGGGCGCGAGCGACGGTGTGGGGAAAGGTGGGGGAAGGCAGGAGGGAGCGTGAGCAGCGGTAAGGGGAAGCGTGAGCGACGGTGGCGGAAAGCTAGGGCGACGGTGGGGGAAAGTGTGAGAGGTGGGGGAAAGCGTTGGCGACATTGATGTTTTGACGAGGACGGAAAGTCACAGAAATGTGAAATTTTTGTGATGAATAAGAGGGTAATCGGAGAAGAAAAAGAAGGCCCGGAAGCGTGTGAGATAGGGGCGGATCGGAGTGTAGCGCAACTGTGGTGCTTATCACCGGCGATAAGGTGATACGCCTTCGCGTTGCTGTCATGCCGATAAGCTACGATGGCAAAAGTCGGGGTCTCGCCGATGGCAATAGAATAGATACGCGTGGAGTTCTAAATGGGCCGTAGGATGACTAGGAATAAATGTGAAAGTGATGGCCTATGCTTTAGTGGCTTTTTATTCTGTCTCGTCGCACGATCTAATCGCTAGCCGACCAACGGTGCAAGCACAACCTGAATTACGAAAGAAGGCAAATTGTGCACACTTTGAGCGGTTGTTCCTTCAGGAGGGAGCAGTTGGGACTCTCGCCAACCATACTTGTTCTGCCCTACGACTCTCTGGTTTTTGGCGCGATGTTTTCTGGTAACCAGCATGGCTCGGGAAGTCAACTGTGGGTTCGGAAGGCAAACTGTGCACAGTTTGCCTCCTTTTTGTAATTCAGGTCTTGGGCTTTAACCGGAGATCTTCGTCCAGGTGAAGGGTCCTACGGGCCCAGATGCATGACTTCAGATGCGGAAAATGGACCCAACTCTAAGAAGATTGTCTGGCACCTGGCACACGAGGTGCACCACCACAGCACACGGAGGATCCAACCGGGGTTACCAGCAGGGCGGAGGGCTTAGTGAAACGAGGGAACTTGCGAAAAGCGCTCGCAGCATTACAGCCTTCGCCAAATTCGCCACCGACGGAGGAAACTGTGGCCTCGCTAAAGGCGAAACACCCAACCTCAACTACACCGATCCCTGAATGGGTACACTCCTACACCCCTGCAACAACTTTCGAACTCCCTCTCGAAAAAAATGAGCGCACCCTCAACGACTGTCCTAACGGGGTGGGAGCTGGGCCATCAGGTACTACCTTCGAGCACCATCAAAGTCCTCGCCCACCTGCACAAGGCTGTCCAGCACCTGCTCTCTCCCCACGTCACTCCGGAAATCATAGTCGTGCTAAACCCATATCGACTGATTGCGTTTAGCAAACCAAAGGGGTGGTTAAGGCCCGTTGCCATCGGCAAAACCATATTGCGCATAGCGGCCAAGGCAGTTTTGGCGGAGCTACAAGGAGATATTCAACGTGTAACGCACGCTCTAACTAAGCTAACTAACCAACTTCCCTCTATGCAAATGTTAAGAGTTTTCTCCACAAAGAGGGCCTTGGAGAAGAAGGTTGGCTTTGGTTGGGATGGAAGGGTTGGTTTGGGTTTCCAAACCTCAACCAAGAGGGTTGGGAAACTCCAACCCATCAAAGTGAAATCACAAAGGTTGGAATTCCAACCAATCAGAAACTGCCAAACTATTGTTACAATCTACTCTATCCTAAACACAACCATTGAATGGTTTTAAGTTGGGTTTTCCTACCCAACACAATTGCCACATAGGCTCCAAGCCTAGGAGCCATCCCACCATGGAAACCATGGTTGGGATGGTTCCCCAAGGGGTGTATTGAGGGGGTCTGAGCTAAGCAAGCTCATTCTCAACCTCCCACTCTAAATAAACAATTGGAAATGGGATTATTTGGCTAAGTCCTTTAGGCTCTCTCACAAGCTTCCCTACATTACTACTCCAAGTGCTTTTTCATCAAAGGCATCAAAAAGATCCTCATTTCCAAGGCTGTTGAGGCTAGTTAAGGCTACTATTTTGTATTGGAATATTACAAAAGCCTTTTAACCGCCATTATAAAAGCCTTGGGCATTACATTGGTATATAGAGCAAGGTTCTTCCTTGGCCTTGTGTGGCCATTTGCTACTTGGATTTTTTTTTTTTTTTTTTTTTTTTTTAAGGATCCTAGCTTGTGGATCTAGGATTTTATCCAAGGAGCAGTGCAGATCTACAAAAGCTTCACCAAAGATCTACAAACTCCAAGCTACAACTACTTCAACTCTTCATTGGAGTGCAAGATCTACAAGGAGCTTCTTCTTCATCAACATAGAGAAGAAATTTGAAGAGATTAATTTCTCTTACCCACCTTTGGTGGAAGACACTTGATCTACCTTGGGTAGAAGAGTGTACATTCAGATCTATAAGGACTTGTTGAGGATTACTCTCTTGAGTATATCTTGCTCTATCATTGAGGTGATAGAGAGATTTGGCAATCAAGTCTCTCTTAAGAGATTCTGTATTGGATTATTCTATAAGAGTAATCAGATTTTTTAAAGATTGTAATAAGATCTGTGGAGATCTCCTCTCCTTAACCTGTTTCATGGCTGCTGGTCAAGAGATGGATGCTACTAAGGAGGTGCCCGTTGTTGGCACTGAAGGAGATAATGCTGCTGCTGCTGCTGACATTGATCTCAACCTTGACGATTTTGTGGTTGACATGGAGATCAATAGAAGTGAAGCTGACCTTGAGGCTGATGCTGAAAATGAGGAAGAGGCTGGCTCTGATGAGGGTGTTTCCAATGAGACTGAGAACATTGCTGTCAAGCTCCAGACTCAACTCACGAAGCATAATATTCTCATTGGAGTGCAACAGTGTCGTATCCAGAAATTGGAGGCTGATTCTGTTAAGCTTCAGGCCTTGATTGAGCAACTGACCAGGGAGGTGCAGTTGATCCCTAAGGAAAACGACACCTCCAGCCTCATTCAGGACCTGCACAACACTTTTCAGTTCGTGCAGGATCAGCTCAAGAAGCAGGAGAAAAGCATCTCTGTGCTTCAGACCCAGTACAAGGAGATCCGGCGTGGAAACCTCTACCAGCCTGCTCCTGCAGCAGAGCGAGTCGCCAACGCCGCTAACAGCCGTGCTGCACCTGCTGATGCACCTCCTGCTGTTCCTCCTCTTACTGGAGCACGTGCTGAGCCTCCTACTGCAGCAGCAAATGCCTTTGGCTCCTGCCCTTCGGCCCTGCCTCGTTTTGTCCATGGCAAGACCGACGTCGAGACTTGGCTCTCCATTGCGGAGGACTTTATTGTCAGAATGAGAAACAGGAATGAATGACTAGAATGACTGTTGGGTACAAATAGGTCAAACCTAACCCTAGAAATGTGTACTCACTATAGGCTAACCCACTGTAGCCTAAACAAGCACAACATACAATGTTTGACACACCCCCATAGGCAAAGTGGGGGAGAACAAGAGGTCACAATACCAGTCAAAGCAAAGCAAAGCTCAGGGTGGATCTCAAGGATACCACACAAGTTCCGAGCACAAGCCATCGGTCACAAGACCAGTTCACATGCAGGTTTATAAGAGAACAAGAGATACAGTGATCACAACCTAGAAAGAGTAAGCATGCAGGTATATATATATACATAGAGATCACTGAACAAGCAAAGTCAAGAAGTGAGCAAGTGAGGGACAGTAGGCACAAGGCCTAGAACAGTACAGAAGCGCTGATGGTCACAAGGCGGAAGCGCCTTGGTGAACACGTCAGCAGTGTTGGCCCGAGTGGCCATGAAACGCAGACAAAGCTGACCTCACTGCTGCAGCTCTCGAGCAAGGAAGTAGCGCAGAGCAATGTGCTTCATTCTGTGCTCCAGTCTGTGCTCCTCACACAAGGCAATGGTGGCCTTGTTGTCGACGTACAGCACTGGAGGAGAACGAGGCCACTCTCCTAAGTCGGTCAGCAGGTAGGTGAGCCAGCGAAGCTCCTGGGCAGCCATGGCCGTGGCGTAGATCTCAGCCTCACAGCTGGAGCTGAGAACAGAAGAAGAGCGTGTAGAACGCCAAGAGACAGGGCTAGAGCCAAGACTGAAGGTGTAACCCTGAGACGACCGCTGAGTAGCCTGGTCGTCTGCCCAAGAAGCGTCTGAGTGCCCAGTAAGAACAGGCCTGTCTCGCCCTCCAAGCACTAGCCCCATGCCCGATGTACTGCACAAGTAGCGCAACACCCTCTAGCTGCATCCATGTGCTCCTTCCGGTGACGGCCGGGAGCAACATAGCGTGCTAAGATGCTGAGAGGGTATGCAAGGTCAGGTCGAGTGCAGGTCATCAGGTACATGAGGCAGCCCACAAGCTCTGGATATGGACCACTAGGCTCTACGGACTCATCCGAAGGCAGAGCTGAGAGCGAGTGTCCCGTAGGCAGAGGAGTGGACTGAGGCGAGGAGTACGTGAAGCCGAAGCGCTGAAGGACCTGCTGCACCATGTGTGACTGAGTCAGGGTAATGGTGCGGCGTGCTCTGTCCCGGGTGATCCGCAAGCCAAGATAGCTTGTCAGTTCACCCAGGTGTGTGCACGTGTGTCTCTTCTGCAGCTCAGACTTCACGTGGGCGAGTGCGGCAGTGTCTGCAGTGGCAAAGACCAAGTCGTCGACGTACACGAGGATGTAGAACGGCGGCAGCGAGGTGTCTGTGCGTAGAAACAGCGACGGGTCAGCAGTAGAGGGAGCGAACCCAAGAGCCGCAAGTGTAGTCCTCAGTGTGTCGTGCCACTCGCGCGGCGCCTGGCGGAGACCATAGACTGGCCGCCGGAGGCTCCACTGGGTACCAGGAGGGAACGACCCAGTGAAGCCAGGAGGGCGGCGCAGCCAGATCTCCTCGTGCAGGCGGCCCTGGAAGAAAGCGGTGCTGAAGTCAAGGGAGTGGAGCTCGTAGTCACGCTGAGCGGCGACGTGCAAAAGAACCCAAAGAGTGGTCATCTTCGGGGTCGGGGAGAAGGTCTGGAAGAAGTCAACTCCCTGCTGCTGACTGAAGCCACGAGCCACGTACCGCGCCTTGAAGACAGGCGGAGAACCCGGCGGCCGCTTCACCCTGAAAATCCACATGCCACTGACGATGTTCGCCCCGGGTGGGGGAACCTCGTCGACGTAGGTGCCTGTGGACTTCCAGGAAGCCATCTCTGCGTCCATAGCTGTCTGCCACTGAGAGGAGTAGGGACCGGCCACCGCCTCTGCGTAAGAGCGTGGGGTCGGGATGTCTGGAGCATCC